CGTCTATTTGATTCAAATGAACAGATAATCGATTTGAATGCTGTTCGGGACGACAGGATGGACCCAACGTCCAGTGACTCCTCGAGCGAAGAAAGCGATGGTCGAGTGCAAGTTGACGCTCCCGGTTTCCCCAATCCCGCGATACCCGTGTCCATGAAGCCCAGCCCAGCTTCGATTGCATTACCAAAGAACAGCGCCTCTGCTCAGAAATCAACTGTTCGTGCGAATCAAGCGAGGAAGACGGTGCGTTCCGTTTCGGGAACTGTGATTATGATGCTTTCGTCGGCTCAGGTAAAACATTGATGTTCATTTTTGTCGCTCAGAATCTCGGATCTTTAATCGCACGAGATGCAGATCCTCTATGCTTATCTTGCTGCTCCCGACTCTCTCGCAAAGTCGTACCTCGGTTTCCTGATCGTCCACGGGAACGGGAGCACCTTGTATCCACCAAAGCCTCGGTTGCTGCTCGACACGATCGCATCCGTCATCAACAGCTCCACACACGCCTCATCGACCAGGTTCATACCCGACGCACGCGACTTTACCGCCAGCATCCCCCCCGGCCTCCCGACCGAGCATCTCGCCCGGATGCAGGAATACTTTACCCGCGTGCCGCACGAGTACATCATGTGCGCCGCGCAGCATCCGGACCACGAGAAATGCCATCGCGGATTCCTGCAGGCCTTTGAGTGCGAGTGGCCCCGCGCGTTTGCGCTCTACGCGCCGCTGAACGCGATTATGACGGTGGTATTTAGAGGACCGCTTGTGCTCAAGGAACCCGGTCGCACGCTTCGGGGGTTCATCGTGCAGTCCATCCGGTCGACGCTTTTCCTCGCTGGATACGTTTCGACGGCTTGGAGCTTACCGTGCTTGTTTAGAAGGGTGGTTGGGAAGGACCATCCGTGGATGTACGTGTCGATGCTAGAAAATATTGCTGGTGATAAAGTGCGAAACTGTTTTCAAGGTACTACCTTAACGGCATCATTGCGGGAACTTGGGTCATGATTGAACACCCGGGACGACGACTTGAGCTCGGGCTCTACTGTTTGCCACGCGCACTACAGTCCCTCTGGAACTGCTGGGTGGAGTGGGGATGGGTGAAGAACATTCCGTATGTTACTGCTTGGAAGATTCCGAGTCCCCTGTCGTGAAATTTACTATCGCTCTGTTTTTAGGGGAGGGGAAGCTTTGTACTTCTGCTTATCTATGTGTATACTTATGAATTTCTATCAGAACGATCCTGAATCTATTCATGACGGGTGAGTATTTGTTGAGTAGCTCTGTTTTGCTCCGGCTAAATACTCTTGATTGACAGGTATCGTAAGATTATGATCTGGTTGCTAGGCGTAAACTGAGAATCTTTTATTGGATGATGACGCTACTTGTATGCAAAGGAACTTTTTTGACATAACAATGAACATGATATCTGATGCAATTGACGAGTGTGCGTGAGAGCCTTTCAGTTTAGTAGCTCCAAATGATTCCGAACCTTTATCAACTTTGCGATTTCGACCTATCAAAGGTGTGAGAACAGTGATTCTCTTGGTTTCGGGAGCCTTCGTATAAGGGCGTTGAACCCCTCGAATATACTATGTACCCCCTCCCCCTAACTTCCCCTCCGACCCCTACTTGTGCTTGCTCTCCATCGCGGGCAGCATCTTGGTCCCAGCACGTGCAATCATATTTGCGAAGCGACAGGTCGCTCTTCTGTGCGCTCTCGTTGGCCGCATCGAGCCGGACATGTATATGTGGAGAGATTTGGCTCGACATGAGAGATATTCCTAATGCCATTTCTGTGTTTTCACAAAGGTTCGATCAAATTGACCGGCTTTGAACCGTAAACACGCTTCAGGTCATGTTTCCACCTCATTCAAGCTAAATTCTGAAGCTTGTCAGAAATATCGTCCCAATTTCAGACCGTTCCGCCTCGGATTCTGTGATTGGTCTGAACAAAATACAGAATCACGTGTGAAAAAATTGAGTGCTCATTCTGATATACAACTGAAACCTTTCTGAAACGTCGCACAAATCATTTGAACCAGATCCCTGAAACACCCCCACTTGAGCTCCAAAATATAAGCCAATAGTTGTTGGATTATACAAGTTGCTGAACTCTGCTGCAGTCACTTTAACAACTGTACACAAACCACACTACAACATCAAAGATAGACTGGAGACATCCAGGAGTTCTCAATGCGGGATGGGAGTGACTTGTCTGCTGTAATTGTTAAGCTGGTAACAATCATTTAACTCAGGAGGAGTAATACATGTTTATGATCGTAGAACTTGTACTTACGTGTCTTCTATGATGTTACTACATATGGTAATATAACTTATGGGAACAGAGAATCCATTGTCTGATTGAAGCACTATTTAGTAATCAGTAGTATTAACTTATTGGGAATTGGAGATTAGTAATGGAAGCCGTCCCTTTATAAAGGACACACGATGGTTTTGTGGAATGTTGTGGTGAGTTGGAGAAGGGTATACTCCGTTCGAACGTAATTGGGTAGCGTCAATCCTGAGACTCATACACGCGTTGCTTACTCTTATAGTAGTGTGGCTTGATTACTAAACTACTATTCCCAATAAGTAGATATTACTGTGATACTCTTCCCGAGTAAACAATTGTTGTTGCCTTAACAATTATGACCGCTCTCTTTGCATAGAGAACTTCTGGTCGGCAGGGTCTGCCACGAGTCAAATCGTTTATTTGATTTGTCAAATTTTATTTGCACTAATTTGTACAAGTCAAATCGAGAGGAGCTCCCTTATTTGCTCAAATTTGATTTGAGCAAATAGGGGTGCCAATTTGTCATATACAAATGGTACCTACCTATTTGGCAAATAGGCCGCAAGGCTTGGGCAAATATTTGTCAAATATTGTGTGTCGTAATATGTTTCCAGACTCCCCACCCAACATTAATACTCTTACACTCCCGATTCACCCTTAAACAGTTTGTGCTGTAACTTGGACTTTCATTGATTGTTCTTGTAATTTGAGGTAGACATCAAGCAAATGCCAAAAGAAAAAACGAGGTAAGTAGGAACTTCAGGCTTGTAATGATACTTGACTTACCTAGGATACAGGTCAAAGAGATCGAAAAAACAACAAAATAAGGGCAACGTCTACAATGAAGAACCAGAGGATATTGATAAAAGTTCATCAACATCTTCACCCCTTGAAAAAGAGAGGGAAACCCAGAACAATGCCCTCACTCGTAAACGACGCAAGTTGAATACTTCACGCAGATCATTGTCAAGCTCAGCACAAGCAGTTGAGGGTGAGGGGGAGGCTGATAACCAGGGCTATTTACTGCAGCAGAACCAACTTCTGAACTCGGCATGGCCCAAGATGCTGCCAGAGTCGGGACTGACACAAGATTTTCATCGCTGTGGTCTCTGGTAAAACCTGATTAGTTATATTCTTAGAACATATTTCTAAATATAATTATTATAATTATTTCAGCATATTGATTCTTTCCGAATCTTCATAATATGTATTTATTTCCAACCAATACATATCACCTGCTGGTGCAAAATTAAAATACAAGTATTAAACTTTTGTTTCTTCCTTTTTTTAGTACATATCTTTTGATGATAAAATGCATAACAAAAAGTTAACTTTTTTTGAACAATGTTATTTATTTACTTTGCACACACAATGCATAACAATAAAAAACACCCGAAGTGCCTTACAAGATGGTCATGGAGCAGCACATAGTGAAGCTTGCTCATCATAAGGAAAATCAAGAAAGCAAAACAGAGGAAGTATTTTTTTTTTTTGAACTTCATAATATGTATTTATTGTCCAACCAATACATATCACCCGCTGGTGCAAAATCCAAATACAAGTGTAAAAATACACGTAAATTGGCAGCACATGGGGAGCCGTGCGAGCCGTAGGAAAAGTAAAATGTTTCAAAACACTAAGGCATATCCAAATCAACAAAAGCAGACAAGATACAATCAGGAGCTGGAGACAAAACTAACTCATAACCAAGACAGTTTGACCAAATGCGGTTAAGTGCACAAAGAACAAGAACCCACTGGGAAAAGGCAGGCGAAGGATAAAAAGGCCGTGGTGAAAGCATATCAATTGCAATGTCAAGAGGTAGGCGGGGATCGTCAGGCGGGCCTAAATCAAAACTAGCAGACAAACTAGCACGCAAATGTAGACACACAGAGACATGGGCACGCGACACTTCAGGGGCATCATGACAGTTCCTACAATAAGGTCGGGGGTTTGGAAACAGGCGGCCAAGCCGATATAGCAGGAACAAACGAAGACATACTGTTGGGAGATGTTGGTGTGGGGGTAGCAACAAAGGGTGGCGAAGTTTCAAATTGCGGACAGGGGCAAACGAAACTGCAAATTGGTCCATTATGCGCAACAGCTAAAGACTGAAAATGCAACATCAACGGATGAAGTGGGGGCACAACAGGCATAGGAACAATGAGATCATTGTGACAAGCGGAAAAATAAGGAGATGAACCATAACCGACTGGAGATGACCGATAGAATTGCAACACAGCAGCTGGTAACAGAGGGCTGGAATCACTAGACCAGCGAGCAAACATACGTGCCTGAAGGTACTTCAGCCTGAACTCAAAAGTAGGAATTTGCGCTAACAGCAACAAACCAACACGCAAAGTGGTATGGGCTAGCGAAAACAGACGACACAGTGCATGATAACAAAAACGCTCGAGTACCTGAAGCTGAGCAGTGGAAGGCCGAATAAGTGCTAAACCAAACTCAAGTGAAGGTCTAATAAAAGACAAAAACAACAACCTGGCAACACGAGGAGCAGACCCACCAAAGTACGAGACATAAGGTGCAAAAAGATACAATGAGGCACGAGCTTTCTCTAAGCGATGATCAATAGTTGCAGCAAGATCAAACCCTTCAATAGTAAAATAGTGACCAAGGTATCTAAATGAAACCTCTACAGGGAGGGCAGAGCCATGAAGCTTCAAGGGGGTGGGTAACCGAACAAATAGCTCTAGTAGTTCAGTTGGTTACAACGACAGCCTTCACTCAAGAGATTGCAGGTTCGAAACGTGCGTGGAGCATTAAAGTTGCAAATGTACCGGGTGCCAGCCGGGGGTGTGGGTTGGGTAGGAGATCAACTCACAACTTCGAGACGTACGGCCTCAAAAAGTCAGTCACGTGACCGCCACGGTTGGATCAAGTACGCATCCGCACCAGCTCGTCAGACTCGATATTCCAATTGCTGTGTATGACTTCCATTAGCCTTGTATGGGGTGCCAGTCGTGCGCGGGTGTGGTTGAGCAGGAAACCAACTCATAAGTTTGCGAGGTACGGACCTCAAAAAGTCAGTCACGTGACTGCCACAGTAGGATGAAGTACGCATCCTTGGCAAATAGTTATCATTTGGCAAATATTTGACAAATCGAATGGCAAATATCTATTTGTCAAATATATTTGGGAAAATCAAATATTTTGTAAGGCATTTGACGAGTGGTCCAACAGAATGGTATATCAAATATTTGGCGAGTGAAATGGGGCGTCTGGCGTTTGACTGGCGAGTCAAATCAAAGGAAGCCACAAATGGTCACGAGTTAAATATAGCAAAATATTTGACTCGATTTGACTCGTGGCAGACCCTGCTGGTCAGCCCCACTCTATCTGTTATGTCGTAGAGTGTTATGTGTATGGTTAAAGTGACTAGCAAAATTTGTCCTATAACGTTCATAATCAAACATACCAGTCCCATGTGGCTAGTGGACTAGTATATCTTCAGATCAGACAGCTTCCCTGTTAAAAACCAAGGGCTTCTCCTGGCAGCGGTAGGGCATTTTTAGCTGTACTGTAGCTAGCACAACAGCTCCAGGTTCCGTCTCTTTGCCCAGTACCTGCTCTCCCAGGTGTGTATATGCCTAATAATCAGACAGGCTTCCGAACTCTGAAAGTCTCGTGCTTAGGAACAAAGACTAGACAGGTCTATCATATACTAGACAGGTCTATCACATCCTTAAATATTCTGGCACAATATCAGGTTAAACCTCGTATAGTGTATGATAAACATGCATTGCATAGAATCTCTCAGTATATTCTTGGTATTTTGCATCTGGCCTCAGCGAGGCATAGATTGTGTTCTACTACAAAGAAAGTTACATATAGGAATAGCAAGTTACCCGCAGCCTCACTCATATACCAACCTGGAATCACAAACCTCCACAATACTAATGCAGCAAGAAAACCCATAGGTTGAACCCACCACATGTTCCCAAGGTGCCTGCTGCCGTTCCATCCCCAAAAAAGTTGTACCCCCCGTAAAACATAAAATGAAACCAAGCACTCTGAGACTCTCACTTCCCTACTTGTCCACCACCCGTGTTTCACCAGAAAGAAGGTCCACCTCCAAGCCCAGCGGTATGGAGAAGGACCTGGAAAGAGCACTAACTGACCACCCACAGAAATCCGAAAAGACATAACAGAAATTCCAAAATGTCCGGAAAGCAGGGTCTGCCACGAGTCAAATTGAGTCAAATATTTTGCTTTTTTTGACTCGTGACCATTTGTAGCTTCCTTTGATTTGACTCGCCGCCAGTCAAATGCCAGACACCCCATTTGACTCGCCAAATATTTGATATACCATTCTGAAGGACCACTCGTAAAATTCTCTACAAGTATTTGATTTGCCCAAATCTATTTGACAAATAGACATTTGCCTGTTTGAGTCCTGACCACTTTTTGCATAAAAGATTAAAGTGTCCTTTCGGTAATATTACAAGTTTTCTGGAGCTCTGAGCCGGAAGCACCTGCTCAACGTGGATTTGCTTGCAGCTTGATGTTACAAATGTGGAGGAGCAGGTACAAATCTGTACCAGCTCCTGACTCCGCCAAGTTAGCCATGGAAAATTAGGTACCAACTGTCCTAGCAGAGAGCACAGCGTCGACAAGACCAGGCGACCAAGACCAGGGTGTCACCAGGTAATTGAATTCACTCAATCGAGGGGTTACAATAGACTGTCCTAACTTTCTGGTGACACGAAAACTGGGCCGGCAGGGTCACGCGATTGTTTGAGGTGCGTACTACTCTGGCAGTCACGTGACTTTTCGAGGTGCATACCTCGCAAACTTGTGAGTTGGTTTCCTGCTCAACCACAACACCAGCGCGTGACTGGCACCTCCTACAAGCCAAGTAGAAGACATTTGCTGCTTTTGGTATACCGTGTCTAACGAGCTGGTACAGATGTGCACCAGATGTTACTCTGTTGATCACATGACAGACCTCGAATAGTGAGATGCTCCAGACAGGTTCCGAACATGTAATCTCTGGCTCACAGCGCTACGCTATAGCCAACTGAACAAATAGAGCTATTCTCGACCTACTGCTCGCACGGCTCCCCATGTGCTGCCAATTTACGTGTATTTTACACTTGTATTTGGATTTTGCACCAGCGGGTGATATGTATATTGGTTGGAAAATAAAAATACATATTATTTATGAAGTTCAAAAAAAATAAAGCGAAAGTGTTTAAGAATATAATTCTTCAATCAGGTTTTACCTCCTCATTTCTTTTGGCATTTTCTTGACGTCTACCTCAAATTGCAAGAACAATCAATGAAAGTCCAAGTTCCAGTATAAACTGCTTAAGGGGAATCGGGAATGTAAGAGTATTAATGTTTGGTGGGGGAGTCTGGAAACATATCACAACACACAATATTCGACAAATATTTGCCCAAGCCTTGCGGCCTATTTGCCAAATTAGTAGGTACCATTTGTACTTGACAAATTGGTGCCCCTATTTGCTCAAATCACATTTGAGCAAATCAGGGAGCTACCCTCGATTTGACTCGTGCAAATCAGGGAGCTACCTTCAACTTGAGATGCACAAATAAGTGCAAATAACAGTTTGACTCGTGGCAGACCCTGCCAGAAAGGCAACAAAGCACTGCTCATTGAAAGGTTCCCCACTACACCCATCTGCCGAACAACACCGCATGCCATGCCCCATCACTCACTGCCAATCCCTTGATGCTGTTGTTGCTAAGAGTAACACCCCTGCATCGGCAACGCGCCAGTTGGCATAATGCTAATAGATAACCTTTCTTCGCCAGAGCTCCTTGACCCGCTCCGCTGTGCTTGCCGATATCTCCCAGCACTGCTCCTCATGCAGACTACTCCACTGGTTTTGCCACCAAAGCATTTCCAAGTCTGTCCAATTTGGTGTGCATGTTTCACTCAATAAAGAATGTGTTATGCTGATCCAATGAGTGAGCCCTTGCTTCCAAGGCTCACAATTGCGATGGACGACCGGAGGTGAGGTGCAAATGATCATGTCAAAGGATTGGCAATAAAAGTGAGATTTCTTTTTTATTTTACAATGCATAACAAAAACAAACACCCAAAGTGCCTTACAAGATGGTCATGGACCAGCAAAAGTAAAAGCAACAAAGAAAAGCAGAGGAAGTAAACTCAAACCTGTGGCTACCTGTCAGATACTGCTAAGGTGCCAAAAAACAGGCGAGTAATAAATAATAATGAAAAAAAGAAAACCTTAAAGATCCACAAATGCAGGGCCAAAGAGGGACTCTAGAGGATGAATTTCTAATGTGTTTTTTAACTATATTATTTATTTATTTGCACATACAATGCATAACAATAAACAACACCCAAAGTGCCTTACATGATGTCGTGGACCAGCACATAGGAGCGCGCAAGTTTGAGGGCAAAGCGAAATAGAGATCAGACATCTTAAAACTCATTCCTGTGACTACCCGTCAGGCTCTGCTCAGGTATCAAATACAGGTGAGTGATAAAGAAAGAAAGGACACTCAACAATGCGAAGAATGCAACACCAAAGAGCAAATCACTGGGTCAAAAGTTGGTCAGAAGCCGAGGTTATGCAGTGGGCATACAATTGAGCGAGATGCCAGAAAGATGAGACGGATCACAAGATTGCAGTAGAACAATGCAACAGCTGGCCCGGACGCAGTAGCAATCGCCTTTGCACATTCATACTGCATAGAGGCACAATTGCCTTTTTTTTTTTTTTTTTTGAATGTTATAACATATATTGACAATGCTTAATCAGTACATGTCACCCACGTGTACTTCAACCAAGATTTGGAATCTTCAGTACTTGGGGAGCCATGCGAGCCGTAGGAAAAACAAGCGAAGGCAAGGAGAGAAGCTTTTTTTTTTTTGAATGTTATAACATGTATTGACAATGCTTAATCAGTACATGTCACCCACGTGTACTTCAACCAAGATTTGGAATCTTCAGTACTTGGGGAGCCGTGCGAGCCGTAGGAAAGAGGAGCGAAGGCAATGGCGAATCGAAGGAGGTGTGGCGCGGTACTTGCACGTGACACGATATTGCGAGAGATATATTTCGTAGGAAATTCGAATCCAGTCCCCTATAGGATTCGAACCGCGGAGTTTAGCTTCGAAAAGTCGCATTCGTACCGACTGAGCCACTATGAGGTCAATGTGGCTTGGTGGTCTAGTGGTATGATTCTCGCTTAGGGTGCGAGAGGTCCCGGGTTCAATCCCCGGCCAAGCCCTCAGTTTTCGTTGATGAATCATTTCGCAGTCCGGCCAATCACGAATGATCCCCTATCTCAAACCATGGTTTTTCTAATCTGCAACAACTTTTTTCGCTTCACGACTTAAATCAAAATGTTAGGTCCTGCCTTGCTTTCTGGTCAGCACTTCATATGTATATCCAGTTTCTCGTTTTCCATTCTTGTTCGCTTTGACATCAAACTCAATCAATCCCAACCGGATTGAAACTACTATCTATCGTAAGCCCTCAGGAACAACTTTCTTGTCTCGTCCATCATAAGCTCCCCAAAGACTCATTGTGTTCGCCTAAAGTAAGCCAAGTGAGCGAGTCCTTTGTGAGCTGGAGGGGTCTGTATGTGATCCTTGCAAAAGATCCAGCGGCATTTGATCCAACTGTGACGCAAATACAATCCACATGCATATTTGTTGTGCTATGCACTGCGACTTAGCAATCGCTTTAGTCCTGATCGATTAAACAGACAAGATTTGTCTGTGTAGACAGGAATCACCATATTGTTTTCGATGTCTATCTGTTAATACCTCATAAAAAATCTTTGCTTTCCTAGCCTAGCACGGGAAAAATTCCCTCCGGCCAAGTGTCTCGGGGAAAACGAATGAATAAGACCGATATTTATATGATCAAATTATTGAAATGGTTCTGATCCCTCTTTCCAACTCGCTGGTTCTGAAGTTGGCCTGCTGCCAAAATGTGTCTCTCTTGGACAACCTGCCGGCCACATATACAGTTACCAAATCATCTGCTACATCTCATTTCTCACCTCTGATTCTGTTGAATTTCTTTGTCGTTCTTGTGCTGCTGATCTGATCCACAAACATTTGCCTGGTCTAGAAATCACTGATTTGGATGTGTCTGCTCCTTTGTATGCTGCCAGTTCCGATTCTCTGCTACATTATGATTCTATACTCCATCAAAGTGCCAAGGCAATAGCTTCTACATCCGAGCCAGCTGTTGCATTGTTCTACCGCAATCCTGTTGATCCGTCTCATCTTTCTACGCTGTTGCATCTTGCTCAACTGTATGCCCTCTCGATGACATCGACTTCTGACCTTCATTTGACAGTAATTTCTCTTCGCTGTTATGTTCTTTGCATTATTGAGTGTTCTTTCTTTTCTTAATCACTCACCTGTATTTGACACATGAGCAGAGCATGACAGGTAGTCACATGAATTAGTATGGTGTCTGACTTCTATTTCGCTTTGCCCTCCGACTTGGGCGCTTCCCTATGTGCTGGTCCACAACCATCACTTTGGGTGTTGTTTATTGTTTGCAACTTATGTGCAAAATAAATAAATAATATTGTTCACAACAAAGTTTTCTGTTGCTGCTTAATTAAATGATTCTCTTAAAGCAGGTGAAAGACACATCTGTTGTTATTGTGTATTCACGCATTCCTGGTCTCTCTCATCTGTTTCCTTTGTTGCTTTTTCTTATGCTGCGCGCGCTTCCCTGTGTGCTTCCATGACCATGTTTTAAGGCACTTTTGGGAATATTGTTTAACAAAAAAGTAGCACACACACACACACCGCACACACACACACACACACACACACACACACACACACACACACACACACACACACACATGCACACACACACACACAGACACACACACACACACTCTCTCTCTCTCTCTCACTCATAAAACTTTGCTCCTTGCCAGCCTGTTCCATCTGCCCCTGCCCCTTAGCGCGCAAGAGCCTCCTTGATCGAATACCACTCTTCTTGTTGACGGATCAAGTTTTCCTTCAACAATAGTGAAGTTCCTCCTGACTTCCTTAACTCAGCCATTGTCTCATACTGAGCAGTGGTGGTCCGTTTTGAGCACTTGCAATCATTTCCAGTGTTTAATCAAATAACAATCAATATTTGTATTCATTTCAGACCCAATTTAAATAATATAAAATGACCAAGACACTCAAATCTTTTTGTTGGCCCGTTTGTGTCTTTTCTTGCAGTGGCTGTGCCTCAAGTCTGTTATAACAGGTTTAAAACACCTAGCGAGGTGTTTTTAAAGTAAGACGTGTTTTTAGTCAGAATAAAACATGTTTTAAGATCCGTAAAACTTCGAAATATATGGGGCCGCCTTTGAAACCCCTATATGAATGCTCATGAGAGGAAGTGGTGAATTCAGCATGAGAGAATCTATCCACATCCTTGTCACCAAATTTCGGAACTGTTTGTAGGCTTGTGAGAGATGATCTTATTGGCCATCAACACGTCAACACGTAGCCATGGGCAGAGGGCAAGAGTGGACTTTGGAGGGCAATGCTAAGAATTTTAGAACAGATTATTGTTACGAGGAGTCCTCGCTGGTAGAAAAGGATGGATAAATGGTGTGGCTTGACCGGGGATAGAACCGGAGACCTTGCTGATGGAGAAGGATGAGTAAACGGACTCAATAAGAGGTAAGCAAAAAGATGAAAAATAATGGGCTCGACCGGGGATAGAACCGGAGACCTTGCTGATGGAGAAGGATGAGTAAACGGACTCAATAAGAGGTAAGCAAAAAGATGAAAAATAATGGGCTCGACCGGGGATTGAACCCGGGACCTCTCGTACCCAAAACGAGAATCGTACCACTAGACCATCGAGCCTCCATTGCAATTCTTCTGACCCTCTCCTTGGTTTTCTAAGAACTCGCCAACATGATAGTCACAAAGCATTCAAATCGGCTCTGAGATCACACAGGCGTAAGACAAAAGCAAATTTTTTTGATGACCCTAGTTCTTCATCAGTGCCTTCTCTTCTGAAACATGTGTCTCATGCTCGGCGCTGCGCTAACTTTCGTACTTCAGCTAATGGTTTAGATTTTGATCCTCAGTCTTTAGCCAAATATTCTGATCATTTTGCTAGTGTCTACAATGCTCAAGCTGCTGACCCAGTTTCACCTTCAATTGTTCTGTGTGATTTTCAGCTGCCATTGGATGTTGAAGCTTTTGTTCTAGCTATTAGGGACTGCCCTTTGGAGTCTGCCCCGGGTCATGATCGTCTGCCTGCAGAACTTTATCGCCCAATTTCAGCTATTCTTGCTCCATTGTTCTTGCAACTTTCTCAGTCCATTTTTCGCAGTAGTCTTACACCCACTTCATGGAATCTTGGGCTTTTGCACCCAGTTTGGAAGCAACGTGGTACGCTTGGTGATATTACTAATTATCGCCCCATTACTCTTTCGTGTGTTGCCCGAAAAATTTTTGAGCGAGCTTTGTTGCCACATCTTTATTCTGCTATCACGTCTCAACGCCCACTTGATGCTGCCCAAGCGGGATTTCAGTCACACCGCTCGGGAATGGAATGTGTTTTTGGTCTTCAGGCATGTATCTCCCGTGCGTCTAATGCCAAGGTTCCTTGGGTTGCTGGTTTTTTAGATATTCAAGCAGCTTATGACACCACAAATCGTGCAATTCTTTGGGCTGAGCTTCTTTCTAGGGGAGTACCGTTGCCATTTGTTTTTGTTTTGAAGTCTCTGTTTGATTTTTGTTCTTCCAGAGTGGTTGTTGCAAATTGTTTTTCAGATGCTTTTGATTTGTTTAGAGGTTTGTTTCAAGGTTCTGTTCTCAGTCCACTTCTCTATATCACTTTTCTTCCTCTACCTGGGCTCCTCCGACCATTTGCCCCACCTATAACACTCTTTCATCCTGCCAAACCACGATATAATTCTTTTTTATTTGCAGATGATTTGGCCTTGTTTGCACTTACTTTGGATGCTATGCAGGTTCTTCTCTCTGTTTGTGACCAGTTTGCCCAAGCTCGTGGTTTTTCTTTTGCTCCTTTGAAGTCTGTGATTCTCACAAAAATTCCTATTCCTGCTCATTTGCCTTTGCTTCTCCATGGTCAAACTCTGCCTGTCAAGCCTTCATTTCGTTATCTGGGTTGCTTTTTTGGAGATACTGGATTTGATGTTTCACTGACTATTTCCCATCGACTTGCCAAAGCGCGCGCAGCTTCTTTTGCTTTGCTTTCTTTTTCAAGGATGTTTAGTTCTCATTCTCTGGTTGTGGTTCGTCATTTGTTTTTGTCTTTTATTCGACCTACGCTTGAATTTGGTTTATATATTTTATTCTTCCCTCTGTTGCTGTTTGCAAACCAGTTCGGACTTTTATTCACCAATGTTTGTGTCGATTTCTTCGCCTTTCATTTTCTACTTCAATTGCTGGGGTTTTACTGTTTTTTAAGTTTCCTGACCTTCAGTTTCGGCTTCAATATCTGCAGTTTCAGATGTTTCAACGTTGGCTGGATGATGATGCCCCTGATATGGTTCACTCTATGTTGTCATTCTTTCTTCACCAGGGAAAGCACTTTCGTTGTTCTCCTGTCCCTTTCAACAATCCCTTCCTCTTCCCGGCTGCAAATGTTGTAGTTCCCAAACCTTCTGATGTTATCGCAAATCACTTTCACCAAGTAGCCTCATCTGCCTATGGTTCTATAGCTGCTAGCTTTGCTCCCCTTGCATCTGCACACCCTCATGCGCTAGCAATTGCTCCTCCATGCTTCCCTATTTCGTCAATCTTGAGGCTTCTGCAGTATCGCCTTGGACGTTTGTTATATCACCCCCGCAAGCAGTGTTGTCACTGCCGCACTGCAACTCTCTCTAGATCTCATGTTTCAGAATGTCTGCGTCTTGACCTATTGTTGCCTCCTGTTCCTGTTCCTGTTTTACAACTTCCGCTTGACGTTGCAATTGATAGCCTTCGTCCACTTCGCATTGTCAACCCAGTGAATCTTGCACCGTGGTATCTAGTTTTTCGTTGTCTCCATAAGATTTGGCTTCACTGTATGGGTCTGCCATTAGAAGTTTCTCCTCCAGACTCCCTCTTTGGCCCTGCATTTGTGGATCTTTAACGGTTTCTTTTTTATTATTTATTACTCACCTGTTTTTTTGGCACCTTAGCAGTATCTGACGGGTAGCCACAGGTTTGAGTTTACATTCTCTGTTTTGCTTTGTTGCTTTTCCTTATGCTGCGCGCGCTTCCCTATGTGCTGGTCCATGACCATCTTGTAAGGCACTTTGGGTGTTGTTTTTTGTTATGCATTGTATGTGCAAAATAAATAATAATATTGTTAAAAAAAAAATAAAAAAATTATAGAGAATCGTTCTTCTGATTTGTTTTCGCTTCCACGAGGTCTTTTTCAAGGTTCTGTTTTGTCTCCGTTCTTGTACTCAGTTTTCATCAATCCTTTAGCACAGCTCCTTCGTCGTGAATCTTCTCATCTTGCTGGGTTTTCTTATAACACTCCTGTTTTCAATTCGTTGTTTTTTGCTGATGACATAGCTTTGTTTTCTGCCACCCCTGAGCAAGCCCAACGTGCATTGAAAATTTGTGAAGATTTTGCTTTAGCTTCTCATTTTCAGTTTTCACCTTCAAAGTGTGCTGTGTTATCTTGTTCAACGGTTACCCACCCCCTTGAAGCTTCATGGCTCTGCCCTCCCTGTAGAGGTTTCATTTAGATACCTTGGTCACTATTTTACTATTGAAGGGTTTGATCTTGCTGCAACTATTGATCATCGCTTAGAGAAAGCTCGTGCCTCATTGTATCTTTTTGCACCTTATGTCTCGTACTTTGGTGGGTCTGCTCCTCGTGTTGCCAGGTTGTTGTTTTTGTCTTTTATTAGACCTTCACTGAGTTTGGTTTAGCACTTATTCGGCCTTCCACTGCTCAGCTTCAGGTACTCGAGCGTTTTTGTTATCATGCACTGTGTCGTCTGTTTTCGATAGCCCATACCACTTTGCGTGTTGGTTTGTTGCTGTTAGCGCAAATTCCTACTTTTGAGTTCAGGCTGAAGTACCTTCAGGCACGTATGTTTGCTCGCTGGTCTAGTGATTCCAGCCCTCTGTTACCAGCTGCTGTGTTGCAATTCTATAGGTCATCTCCAGTCGGTTATGGTTCATCTCCTTATTTTTCCGCTTGTCACAATGATCTCATTGTTCCTATGCCTGTTGTGCTCCCACTTCATCCGTTGATGTTGCATTTTCAGTCTTTAGCTGTTGCGCATAATGGACCAATTGCAGTTTCGTTTGCCCCTGTCCGCAATTTGAAACTTCGCCACCCTTTGTTGCTACCCCCACACCAACATCTCCCAACAGTATGTCTTCGTTTGTTCCTGCTATATCGGCTTGGCCGCCTGTTTCCAAACCCCCGACCTTATTGTAGGAACTGTCATGATGCCCCTGAAGTGTCGCGTGCCCATGTCTCTGTGTGTCTACATTTGCGTGCTAGTTTGTCTGCTAGTTTTGATTTAGGCCCGCCTGACGATCCCCGCCTACCTCTTGACATTGCAATTGATATGCTTTCACCACGGCCTTTTTATCCTTCGCCTGCCTTTTCCCAGTGGGTTCTTGTTCTTTGTGCACTTAACCGCATTTGGTCAAACTGTCTTGGTTATGAGTTAGTTTTGTCTCCAGCTCCTGATTGTATCTTGTCTGCTTTTGTTGATTTGGATATGCCTTAGTGTTTTGAAACATTTTACTTTTCCTACGGCTCGCACAGCTCCCCATGTGCTGCCAATTTACGTGTATTTTTACACTTGTATTTGGATTTTGCACCAGCGGGTGATATGTATTGGTTGGACAATAAACACATATTATGAAGTTCAAAAAAAAAAAAAACTTCAGCTCTCTCTTGCTGTCTGTGTCTCTCCCTCTCTCTCTCTCTCTCTCTCTCAATCAATGCCGCCTCCCATGCTCCGCCTGCACAGCCGCCTGACGCTCTGCCTGCACAACCGCCTGACGCGCCGCATTCTGCGCCACCGCTGCACCCCCCTCCAAAATTTTCATCGCTTCTGGCCGTGCTCGCTCCCGTGCCCTCTGTGTCCCACCCTCGCGCCCCTCAGGAAATTATTCCTGACTCTCAGCCCAGCAACTTTGATGCAGAAAATTTTCTGTAGGCAGATGAAGTGAATTCTCCTCGCAAATCACGTGACTGCTGATCACGTGACCAAGCGTCATCCACTTCAGAACCGGCTCGAATTAGAGGAAGATTCCCCGCAAGTGTCGTTGATGTTCACATGAATGATACAGTCGAAATGTCACTTACCATTGCTGATGCTGATCCCAAAGGGAAACGTCGAACCTCAAAATCACCCCGACTGGCCGACCTGCCTCTCGTGCCAGGGTCGAGAAGAATGCCTCTGCAGCTGATCATGCTACCTCTCCCTTGCCCACTCCTCGTGACCGATTCTTGGATGCTCTGCATATTATGGCCCCTGCTCAAACTTCTGGATCTCATCCATTAGTGATGTCTGCTTTCACTCGTGCAATGCAATTTCTCCCAGTGTTGGAACCAGAAACTGAGGCTGCCTTCTTTGCTGCATTGACTATTGCTGTAGTTCCGTTGGTTGAAACTATCAGCTGCCCTCCTGCTGCTGTCTCTGCCGTGCCTTCCTATGCTCAAGTTGCGAGTGCTAGCCGACCGCCACCTGCCCCTGCTACTCACAATCCTGGGCCCTTCAGCACTGCAAAATTTACCTCTCGTGCATCAAATGCTATTGTTCGTATTGAAGCTGCCGATGCTGATGCTCAACCTGCCCTTTATCGCTCAGTGGTTGCTGGAGTGGACCCCCTATCTCGCAGATCACTACTGCCACCCAGATTGGTGA